TCTGCACAGAGCCAGAAATGAAGACAGATGTTGATCAATGTTTCACCAGCCTCCGGTCCCATCCCGTTCCGAGTCCCATTGTCAGGATTCGAGGCCCAGTTACTTTTTTCTAGTCAGATGCTTAATCAACTGAGCTATAATTTTGAGGACGCAGACAGACTCAGGCCGATATATTGCTCTTCCCAGCTTGGGATTGAATATAGCTCTTTATAAAGGCGTCAGACTCTAAAATATTCCAAGTTTTCAGACAATCTCGGGCACTTATAATATATCTGATAATGGTAACGTAGAGGGACCTGATAACATCTACGAATGGAATCATGATGTGAAGGGAAAATAACTAGTTAAGAATTGTATGATTATACAAGGGGTTATTAGAGCACTCCGTGTCACTGGTGATTTTCCCACGTTACCCGCTAGCAAAAGCAAAGCTCAAGATCTATAACCTTTTTTTCCAAATTTCCTCTCTCTAGTTTAATAGCTTCATCCTGTCTGCACACAAAGGCCTTCACACATTTCGATTCAAGTTGTAACAACTGATATAACTCGCCAGCTTGTTTAACTGATAAGTATATCTATCTTGCATCACTCACAAAGCAATTTTGCGTCCCTTCAATATCTACGTCAAGATGGCTTAGATATACAAATACATCTAGACCTATATTTTTTTGAATCCAAGAAACTTACAAGTTTGTTGGCATTCTTTCAAAGTTTTAAAATTATTTTCATTTCCTCCGCAACCACCGTAGATGAACTTCTCACACTGACCGCTGGCCTCATCAAAGTGGTATCTCGGAAAGTATCCTTTGCAGAGTCCTGTCTGAGGTGGAAGGGGACATATACCTTGGAAAAAAAAAACAGCAGAGAGTTTTCTCTCTATTCTCTGCACAGAGCCAGAAATGAAGACAGATGTTGATCAATGTTTCACCAGCCTCCCGTCCCATCCCATTCCGAGTCCTATTGTCAGGATTCGAGCCCCATTTAATTTTTTTCCCGTCAGATGCTCAGTTAACTGAGCTATATTAAAGAACAAAAATAGACTCAGGCCGATATATTGCTTTTCCATGCAAGCTTGAGATTGAGTATAGCTCTTTATGGAGGCATAAGACCCTAAAACTTAGCAAACTTATTCCAAGTTTTCACACGAGCTAGGGCACTTATAATATATATCTGATAATGGTAGCGCACAGGAACCTGATCTCATCTACGAATCGAATCACGATGTGGAGAGAAAATAACTCGTCAAGAATTATATGGTTATACGATTATATTCAATTGACAACGCAAGGACAAGTTGCATGGTCAGTTTCTTTTACATTTCCCCCTTTTTTCTACGATTAATTTGAGCCCAAAATCTCCAAATTCAACAATCAATGTAAATAAACCGCTCAGCGATACGACTTACATGTAGGATTTTGATATTTGTCAATAAGTTTCAGAGACTTTGAAATAAGTTTTAGTTGTATTTCCAAAGAAATCACAAATTCAAAAACCAATTTCAAGTTGTTTTAAACTCAGGACACTTACACGTTTGTTGGCATTCTTTCAATGTTTTGAAATTATTTCCATTTCCACCGCAACCACCATAGATGAATCCTTCGCAGCGACCTTTTGCCGCATTGTAATAAAATCGTGGGAGACGTCCTCTGCAGAATCCTGTCAGTTTTGGAAGGCGACAATTGCTCACACCTTGAGAGGCCATCAAATCTTTAAGAAACAAAGACAAAAGCTAATTTGGTCAAAACAAACAAACAAACAAACAGCAACAACATCATGAAATGAATAACCAAACAAAAACTGAATCAATCTCTCTTCATGTACTGTAGATTATACGCAAAAACGAAACACGATAAAATAACAGCCCACGTAACGTTCGGTCTCTAAAAAAACTTATTTATTTAAGATCGATCGACGAAAGATCAGATATTTGCAATATCTATTGGGGTGATGGCTCTTACGGCTTAAGGTTAAAATTTTGGCCGATTTATAGCTATTTCTTTACCGAGCCCAAAACTTACTATCTCTCTTATTCTATTTACAAACATGACGCTATCGACATTGCTGATCCTAGCAGTATGCAGGACGAGTGTCATATGACCTTCGTAATAGACCTCATCGGAGGTGTTAGGGTCGATTCCTCATGGGGACTCAGAATTTTTCTTTGTCCCACGCTCGTGATAAGACGAAAAACATCTTTCTCTATATCTTTTGATTGTTTTCACCAGTTTTTTTTTATTGTTTATAGTTAACTTTATTTACGACTAACCGTTTAAAATTTATCAATTTTTACGCCTGACAGTTAACCCCATTGAGACCCTTCTAGGAGTAAAAAAACTACGTTAGATAACTTGGTTTATCAACTGGATCGATAACGGAAATTGGTCACTCAACCGTAGAGAGTTTCTACGACTGGGGTTTCGAGCGTTAGCCCTTCGCTCCGACGAATGGGTGACGCTGGAAATCTTAGTTGTCCAAACTGGCTACGGTCGGATAGCCATGGCCAATTTACATTATCAACCAAAATATATTAAAGTTCACACGGCAACCAGGTGGACAATCAGACATAGTTTGAAGCTACACTGGTTTGCAGATTTAATGAATGTAACCGAAGAAGTTACAATTCATAGACCCAACGTTTCGACACTCCTGTCTAGTGCCTTCATCAGGGGTGATCTAAACGCTGCAACAAGAGGTCCTTTTATATCATCACTAATTAGCGGCCTTTTTTTCTGACGAGGTGTAAATAGGCGTCAGGAAGCAGACCGCCATCGTCACGATTTAAAGGAGCGTGGGCGGAGTTAATGTGCCAAGCCTCCAAACAAAGGCGCTGGTGGTAACGCCGATTAGTAGTGATAATTTTAGAATTATCCCACCCAATTGTATGGTTGGTTAGGCAAGTATGCTCCGATAAAGCTGAATTTTCCTTTTTGCAAAGAAAAACCGCTTTTTGGTGCTCTTTTAACCGTGTACCAAACTGGCGTTTGGTCTGTCCGATGTATTCGTTATCACAGTCATTGCAAGGAATAGAATAAATGGCGTCGGTTCGTTGTTCTTTCGTGACAGGATCCTTAGGTTTGGCGAAAATATGCCCCAAAGTCTGAAAAGGTTTTTGAGCAACTTTAACGTTGTGGCTATTCAAAATTCTCTTGATGGGTTCAGTAACACCCTGTATGTAAGGAATAACAGCAAAACCAGTCGCTGGTTCCCTTTCATCAAGAGCGTTACTGTTTGTAACTGGTTTTTGGCAGTTACGGAGAAAAGTTTTTGTATAGCCATTTGCCTTTAGGACATTGGAAACATATTTCCTCTCCTCAGCCTTCGAATCGAGTGATGACGGTAGACAATCAGCCCTCCTAAGTAAAGTTTTGGCTACAGACTTTTTATGGCAAATAGGATGGTGAGAATCGAAAGCGAGGTATTTGTCGGTGTGGGTGGGTTTACAATTTGTAAACTGTGATTGCAATTTGTCTTGACCTACCAGTGCTCGGGCGCGTGAACATGGTGATCGGTGTACTTTTTTCAAGGTTTTATCCAAAATGGTGTACAATACTTGCGAAATTAGTGGGAATTAATCAAATAATGACAGTAGCTTTTTATGACTTGTATGAGCCAGCGGAAATAAATGAGTCGAAGATTTTTATTGAAAGAACTGTTTATCAGCCCGAGGTCCTTTAAGGTCCTTTAAGGAAAGCTTTCTCTTTTCCTCACTTGTGAAGATCGACTTTTCTCAATACCGCGAGAGAGATGGTACATCGACCGAAAAATGATCAAGTTTCTTTCCCAGAGTTGTTTCTGACTTTCCAGAAAATTCACGAAAACTGAAACGAGCTGTGGCGGAAATCAGTGCCCCGAGTAGAGGCAAATGAATACCTATGAAAAGCGCAAGAAAGAAGCAAGCTCAAAACAATTTAATGAATTTGTATCAGAGGGATACAAATTATCAAAAACTGGACCATTTCATTTCAATTTGAGCTCACAGTACGTTTTTGAAAATCGCCAACATTTCAAAATTAAAGTATAGCCTTTCGCAGAAAATGTTAAATCAACAATTTCCCTATGTGGTGGTACTCAGAATTAGTGCAGGTTAAACCCTTGATAAGGTGAAAAAATTTTGTTTTCCAGGATACAAATATTAGTGTGGGAGCTTTTCATTTCCCCACGGACAAAATCGGGCTGAATTTGTGAAAAACATCACATCATAAGCTAGTTAAGCAGCCCGTTTTTCAATCCGGAATTCCAAGCGAATTTTAACATTTAGCACCGCATTAGATCAAGAAACCAATACAATAAGCTAACCTTGCATATTGGTGCTACTCGGTGAATTTTTTTAAAATTTGTATACATCCGTAAGCTCCGTCTCTAACGTCTTGTCTTTACTAGTTAGCAGGGCACGTTAAATGACCCATGCAATTTCTACTAAGAGTAGGGAACGTAAGTGTTTTGGTGTGTCCTTGTTTTCAAAAACAAAATTACAAACATTATGGGCATCGGTAAAATTTCTTTTCAAGCATTGTAAACTGCTCAATGCAGTCTGGCGTAGTTCCTCCGCATAGTGTTGTGAAGCGTATTAGAGCATACAAATATGGAGAATGCGCTATAGAAATGCGTCCTCATCATATCTCAACAGTCTTAGTCCAAATACAGTGAAGACCAGGTTATCAATTACACCTAATGGCACCCAAGTATAACGAATAAATATGTGCAATGAAATATACAAGTTAAAAAAGAAATTATCAACTGCTCTAATACCCAAATTCAAGAAGAGTAGCAAAGCAACTGAAAGTATGGCTGACTTCATTTCTTCTTGTCTTTTTGTCCAATTGCAACTTCTCTGTAGAAATGAAATGAAATGAAATCAAGTAAGCTAAATGGAGCAGAAGTAAAACTTCTCGAGCTCGTCATGTTCTAAACAAACGCTGAAGCATATAAACAGAGCAAATATTACCTTTGATTGGACAGTCTGATCTTATGAAGCAACTTGGATGTGCTCTCTTTGTAAAGCGTCGATGTTCTGATGCAATCAAGTTGAATGCACAAGATAAAAAGTGTCTCAGTGCAATCAACTGAAATGAAAGGATATAAAACAATTAATTCTTTGAACCTTGAAGTTCTTTTGTTCGCCTATTTACCATACCGTTGCTATGAGACACTACATCGAGGCCTTGCTCCACTTTTTGCTGAAATCCTTGCCCAAACGCAATGGTCTTCTATACATTAGAAGTTCAGTTGGTATTTTATATCGTGCTTTGTGCCACAAACTTGAAATCAAGCTTATCAAATTCAATAGACCAGCACGGAATGTGAACATGCATTCCGCCTGTTTCCAGCCTCTTTGCTTATTACCTTAAACTTCACCGAATGAGACGATAATTACGCTTTGTTACCATTCTTTTGGTGATCATTCATAATCTACAGCTGAGGGCAAAATTGGCTTCTTGCCTCCCTTTTGTTTCCGGTGTGGTTATTAATTGTGGTGGTGAAGGTTTTTACTACGCCTAGTGATTGCTATGTGAGGGAAAGGAAGACATAACAGCTGTAATTTTCATATCTGGTGCCTTTACCATGCGTGATCTAAGCTTGTTGATCTAGAGTTCATACTTTCATAACTACGATTTACTCGGGCGCACTGGCGCCTCGAGTCACATTTAAGTGAACGAGAAGGTGGAGTGTGAACTGATAAAACCTAATTCAACCCTCAAGCTACTTTCATTGAAAACTGACACCCACTTCCATGTTTGAAACAAAGTAAAGCCCACACGTCTAGACACTATATTGCTACGAATTTGATATTTTTAGCAGCACACATACCACTGTGCGTTATCAAGGGTAACATCAATCGCATTGCAGCAGGTCTATAAATATTTGATGTATCAATGTTGTGCAAGGCTTGCTTCAAACGAGTCAAAATTCTAAATTTGCCAAAGCTAACATAAACAAAACAGATCTGCAAAGAGCGGAAATTGCATTCGACTCGGCAAGATTTGCGCTCAGCCCCACTCTTCGTCAGCATACAGTTCTTGACCGAAAAAGTAATAGGGAAAAGAATAGATGGCCTTCGGAACTACGGCTTGGATTTAGTACAATAGGGGGTTATAATAACATCTCTTCTTTAACTCTCACGTCGCTTTCATTAAAAGCTAACGCCTATTGGCCAGAGACAACGATTAAACATCCACCTTCATTTTAACAACACACCACCTACCCTTGATTCCCTGCAGCATTCAATCCAAGTATCATACTGAAATTATCCTTTTCGGAGTTTTGATTGATAATTCACGGTCCAAAAACTTTGAATTAATGCATTTGAGATCTTAAAATTCCATTTTTAGCAGTAATCACGGTCCAAGAATCAAATCAGACAATGAACTCAGTCGTGCTTATCCTTTAAATCAAATCGTGACTTGTTATGCACGCAAGGCTTGTAAGAAAGCGAAGAAATTTTCAATACTCTGTTTCTCAGACAATCCGTTTGGTCTAAATGGAAATTTTAGGATATACTCACTTCATGAAACAGAAACTTAGGATGTTTAATGTTTAAGCTAATCCAATTGAAAATTTTAAAAAAAAAGAAACATAAATAAATTCCACCAGTTTACCTTCTAAGTCGAAGAAGAGCATTATCGCTTTCTTAAGAGCAACTCCATGCAAATATCGACCAAAGTGCGGCAAGGCTCAAACAGTCAAAATCGCTCTTCTTTTGCATTCTAGTAGACTTTAGTTAGTGTACAAACGCTATGTAATTTTTTCTTTGAAAGATCCGTTCCTTTCCGAGAAAAACGTGGAAAACC